CTATTATAATTAATTTTTGTATTTTGAATAAATATTTTAATGTTAGTATACAATATTTAAATGATTCTAAATTTTTTTAATTAAAACTTTCTTTAGATGTATGTAAATAAAAAGTGGGGGAGAGGATAAGTAAGAATTAGAGATAATTTATGAGGGAGTCTCTCTATTGAAATAAAGATAATTTAAGAGATAAATAGGAGTTAGAGATGATTTAGGTGATAAATAAGAATTAGAGAGAATATAGGAGAAAGTGGTGGTACTTGGGCTATACATTAGAAAAACAAATCCCTCTTTCTTTATGGCTGTTAGAAATAGTTAAGCCTGTGTTATTTCCTTATTGATTTAATGGGTAATTATGTAGAATTAAAAAATAAAAAATTCAAAAATACATAAAATTAGGAAGGGGGTTTGGAGAAAGGAGAGGCATGGTGACATGGACTCTAATTCTTTGTTTGAGAAATGGTATAAAAGCCATTTTATTATAGCTTTAATGTCACCTTTAATGGCTACTAAAATGTCCATGATTGTGTATTTAATCCATATCTAATGGTAAGGTTGAAAATGTAACTTCAATTATTACATACCACCTCATTTAATCCCCTCTCATTAAATCTTATACTTAAATTATTAACTCCCATCTTTTCTTATTAAATTAGATCTGTGTCAATATTTTTGACAATATAAACCCATATATTTTAAAACAGACTCAACAACAAAACCATTTTTAATCCAAGTGGTGGCTAAGCAATTCAACTATCTGAATCAAATTGATTAACCTACGAAATCATAGTTAGGTAATAAAAATTTTAAAATAGAAATAAATATAGACAAAATTAGACACATTTATTAATCAAATTAAAAATAAGTGTAATAAATAAGCATTTTTTTTATTGGTAATGAAAATGAAATACATAATTTAGAACTGATCAAAAATAAAATTTTGGGTAAAACATGTTAACCTTTAATGACATAAATAAATAATAAAAGTTAATAAAATATAAAAATACATCAATTTTGAAAAAAAACACGTTTAGGCACATGTATAATATCATATATTCATTATATTAAACAAAAAGTAAGTGTGACATATTAGAATTATTTGAGCAAGGTTTAGCTTAATGCTTTAGTTGTTCAACGGGTTGCGGAACCAATGATAAGGTTTCTCGCCAGTATTAAATACATGGGGCCCGCATCTTTTATAGTGGGGCCCATTAATTCATTATTGGCACGGAACCTCGTTATTGATTCCACAGCCCGCTGAACAGCTAAAGCGTTCAGCCAAGGTTCAAAATATCGATATGCCCGATATGCTGGTATGGGTGTATCGAGCGAATCAATACTCCTTTTGGTGATTTTTTTTTTGCCAACTAGTTAAGGGGAACCAATTTAGGTCTTCGCCACACCCTGAACTGGTCAGACCACCGATACACCCATTGTAGGGGCGTATTTGTCGGGTGCCGGAATGATACGTATCGGTCGATACGCGCCGATACGTGTCGATACTTTGAACCTTGCGTTCAGCTAATTTGAATTTGAATTATTTTTACACACAAAAAATACTAAAAAATTATAGAAAAAATTGAACACATCTATAATTCTATATTTACACTACTATTAAAAATATGAATAAGATTGTGGAAATTTCTTTTGACTAAAATACTCATTTTTGAATTTAATCCCTATTTAATTACGAGGTTTAAATTGTAAATTAAACTACTACTTTTCACCCCATTAAATTCCTTCTATTTAAATCTTACATCTTTTTGATAAGTAAACAAACAAAAGATACACAAAAAAGATTAAATATTACAAAAAGAATAATCTAGCCAAGCAAGTAAGCCTATCAATGATACTTGAAACTTTACAACTTTATTCGATTATCACATATTTAGATGAGGTGCTTATATAATCAGATTTGGATTTTCAATCCACATCCGATTAATAATAAAAAACAAACAAAAAATAAAAATAATAATATTACATAAAGAAGAATCTAGCCAAGCAAGTAGACCTATCAATGATACTTAAAACTTTACTACTCGATTCAATTATCACATATTTAGATGAGGTGCTTATTGTAACCAGATTTGGATTTTCAATCCGCATCCGATTAATAATAAAAAACAAACAATAAATAATAAATAATACATAAAGTTCATAGGAAATTGTGGATACATTATTACTATTTTTATCATCATCTAGAATTACTACGTGCACACTGATACTATGTCTTACAATATGTGTCTATCTATATATGCATATATATGTAAATAATTAGGTTGAACATGGATTGGGATAAGTTTAGGCTTGAGCTTAGGGCGGGTTTAGGTTACCTAAGGGCTAAGCCTGAGTTCAACCCAAAAAATTAAAAATCCCAAACATTTGGACTCAAGAATAAAAATCCAAATCCAACCCATATAAAATTTCAGAGTGGGTTGATCCAGAATCGGATTGGGCCAGATCAAGTTGCACCCCTAGGTTCTATAGCCTAAAGCACACAAAATTTAATTTTGAATCGATGCCAAATTGTATCATTAACATTACTTCTACTAACCACAGCTTTTACTTGTACAAATCAATAATACCCAAAATTCCTCAAAATCACTTATCTTTAAGGTTGTGTTTGGTTTGAAGGAAAAAAGTATGGAAAGGAAGGGAAAATGTAGGGAAACCTTTACAAGCCTTTTGGTTCCCCTTCCTTTCCCTACTTTTTCCCTTCAAACCAAACATAGCCTAAAGGAAATGAATTTGATAAATTGATTCCTCCAAAGTCCAAACAGCGACCTCCTATTTTGTTTGCAAATGTACCATTTACTAAGGGTGTCAATGGATCATTTTTGGATTGGACCTCGTCCAGTCCAAAATCAATTTGGACAAATTGGATGAACCAACAAGACATATTGGATTGGACCAATCCAATCAAGGTATTGATTAGATTGGATTGGATTTGATCCGTCTACAACAAATGTATATTGGATTGGTGGATCAAGCCAATATCTGGTCCATTGATATAAGATAAGAATATATGTGTCAATGGACCGGGTTTGGGTTGAAACCAATCTAAATCAAAATGAATTTAAACATATTGGATGGTCCAGACATTGAATTGGATTGGTCCAAATTGGTCCAAAACATTTATTGGATTGGATTGGACATGGTCCATTTATAGTGGACTTACATTGGATTGGATCAGATTGGACCAAATCTAGTCCAATTGACACCCCAAGGCATTTACCATGCTGATTACGATAAAATCCATCACCAAATGACAAATTGAGAGGCAAGTAAGGGTGTCCACGTTTCGGTTAACCGAACCATGGGCAGTTTTTGTAAATCGAACCGGTACCACCGGTTAATCGGCCCCGTTGGTTTCAATTTTTGACTGGTTCCGTTATTCGGTTTTTTATATTTATAACATATATTATATAAATATATGTATAATATTATATTATAAATAATAAATGATATATAATATATTATAAATATTAAAAAAATATATAATATATTTATAAATAGATTATTACAAATATAATATATTTATATATTTATATATAATATATAGAAAATACATGATATATATTAAAAATATATATAAAATATACAAATAAATATATATACTAATCGATTTAATTAACCGCTGTTTTTTGTAGGTTAACCAAAAACCAAACGGATCCTTTAGTTTTTCAAAAATACCAAACCCAAATCAAACTGATCAATTCGATTAACCACGTTTTTCGATTTAATTTTCTTAGTTTGATTCGATTTTTCATGAACACCGCTAAGGGCCCCTAGCGACTTGTAATGCTTCATGATGTTGATGAATTAGGAGTGTAATATCCCCGAATTATGCATTATTCTGTCAGAAACACGTTTGGAGCAGACCATATATTGATTTAGGTGTTTTAAAGTACTTTATTTTTATAATTGAAAAGGGCCATGTTCCAAGAAAGACGTGACATATCAGAAAAAGAAGTATCATGCTTTTGTTTTTGTTTTGCCCTTTGTTTTTTTTTAACTTTGCAATGTGCCTTGCCACACTCAATATCTCAAGTCTCAAAGTCTCTTCTAACACGGTGATTCAAGAGACGTCAAAAATGTTGATTCAAGAATCGGCATCCTGTCCGAAATTCTAGGCTGTTGTCGTTGCTTAGAATCAACATTATCATTTTTATCAAGCACCACAGCCAAAGTGTTTATGTAGCAATAAGCTACATCGATGACTGACATGATGTTCTAAAGGCCAAAGGGTCATACGATCTTATCAGTGAAAGTACACGAATACCCTTACGTTGTTATGATTTGTGAAGCTAAATGGCGAGGGTAGTAGTAGTTAAACTAAGCTTTGACCATTGACTACGTAGTTATAATGATGCTGTAGTATGGATTAAATTAAATTAGAAATTCCTATCTATAACCTCTATGCACCATTCCTGGAAAGCTGAAACATATGGCGTTTGTTTGACTACAATGAAATGAATTTCGGACGGAGTGGAGGGGTCATTAGACTTGTCATCTCGAATCGCTGAAGATTGAAGAATGGAGAGCACCAGACGGTGGGTCCAGACTCCAGACCCCTCTCTCTCTCTCTCTATATATATAAATCTCACCTACTGTCCTATCTGACTGTCCGAAAACGAGAAAGAGACTGATAACGCCCGCCACGGCCACTGATTGGCTTAAAGCTCTCCTGCTTAGAATAAGGGAGGGAAGGGGGTATGACAATTTACAGAACACAAAATACAGATTGATTGGAAGCTGGAACTAGGAAGAAATCCGCGTTAGAAGTGAGAGAGCACCAGCCAGCCACAGGCCAAGGGCAAAGGTGCACCGAGACGAGACTTGTCTCCTGGTGGTGCTGAAGACGCGCCCCTCTTAGTTGACGGGGCAACTGCCCACCCATACACACACTTTCCTCTCTCATCATTATCTCTGAAGGGGCCCACTTTAGTTTTCATTTTCTTTTCTTTTATTCGTTTTAAAATAAAAAAATCAAAATTAAATTCAATTTCAAGTCCGTCTGTGCGACAGACCAAGATAGCAAAGAAGGAAAGGAGGAGCCCCTGCTCTGCGCAGCGAATAGGAATTATAGGATAACAAGGGTGAGGGTGCGGACGCAGAAAAACGTTTCTACTACGATCGCTGTGGATGGGCCAGTCGTCTTCGACTGCCGGAATCCCATCGGCGTCAGACCGCCGCGATACCAACTACAGCCATCGCACCAAGAATAGATCCACGCCTGTTATCTCGCCGATGCAAGTCGAGCTGAATCCCGAGATTCCGAGGAATGTCCCAGGAACTTGTGATTACATTTCTGATCTGCCCGATGAATGCTTGGCCTGCATTTTCCAGTCCCTTGGCTCCGGCGACCGTAAAAGCTGTTCTCTAGTCTGTCGGCGATGGTTTCGAGTCGAAGGACAGAGCCGACACCGTCTATCGCTCAAGGCGGAATCCGATCTACAATCTCTGATTCCCTCTATTTTTTCTCGGTTTGATGCTGTAACCAAACTGGCATTGAAATGCGACCGACGATCCGTCAGCATCGGCGACGAGGCTCTTGTCCAAATCTCTTTGCGTTGCCGAAACCTTACACGACTCAAACTTCGCGCTTGCCGTGAGTTGACCGACGCAGGCATGGAGGCCTTCGCTAAGAACTGCAAGGGTTTGAAGAAGCTTTCCTGTGGCTCCTGCATGTTTGGTTCTAAGGGCATGAATGCTATCCTAGATCACTGTTCTGCTCTCGAAGAGTTGTCGGTGAAGCGCCTCCGTGGCATCACGGATGGGACCGCTGCCAAGCCTATCGGGCCGGGTGCCGCGGCCTCGTCCCTCAAAACTATATGCCTCAAGGAGCTTTACAATGGCCAGTGCTTTGGACCGCTTATCGTCTGTGCCAAGAATCTTAGGACCCTAAAACTATTTCGTTGTTCCGGGGATTGGGATAAGCTTCTGGAAGCCATTGCAAATCGAGTTACTGCTTTGGTAGAAGTCCATCTCGAGAAGCTCCAGGTTAGCGACCTTGGCCTCGCCGCTATCTCAAATTGTTTGGATCTGGAAATCTTGCACCTTGTTAAGATTCCAGAGTGTACAAATGCGGGCCTTGTGTCTATTGCTGATCGCTGCAAGCTCCTGCGGAAGCTTCACATTGACGGATGGAAGACAAATAGGATAGGCGACGAGGGTCTTATTGCCATTGCTAAACGCTGCCCTAACCTTCAGGAATTGGTTCTAATAGGTGTCAATCCCACTTCTTTGAGTTTGGGGCTGCTTGCAGCCAATTGCCAGAATCTAGAGCGATTAGCTTTGTGTGGGAGTGAAACGATTGGTGATGCGGAGATATCGTGTATTGCTGCCAAATGCATGGCACTGAAGAAGCTTTGTATCAAGAGCTGCCCTGTCTCGGACCATGGTATGGAAGCACTTGCTAACGGTTGTCCTAATCTGGTCAAGGTGAAGGTCAAGAAGTGCCGGGCAGTAACCTCCGAGGGTGCGGAATGGTTGAGAGCATGCAGGGGGTCATTGGCTGTCAACTTGGACACTGGTGATGTTGAACATCAGGACGCCAGTGCTAGTGATGGTGGAGCCCAGGAAAATGGTGCCGAGTTTCCTCCAGTGGTCGGCCAAGTCAATGCTGCTGATATTCCATCGAGCAGTCATGGTCGATCAACAATGTTCAAGTCGAGGTTAGGCATTTTTGCTGGGAGGAGTTTCGTAGCCTGCACCTTCAGGCGATGGTCAAACAATAGTAGTAATTCCCGCAACAATTAGTGGGAAATTGCAGAGAAGGTTGAAGGAGGAAAAAAAGCACCTGATGCGTTAACATTATTTTGTGTTGTATTATTTGTTGATGTTTTCCTTGTTTCTAATATCGTGTGTTGTCCTTCAAAATTGAAACCCTGCTGTTGGAAATGGCAACTGCAAGAAATTTTCAGTTTTCTCTTGCTTGATTATATCTTGTATTCATGTGTTTCTGTGCTTCTTTTTTAGACAGCTTCTACAGAAGTTCTCATTCTTTATGTATTTCCTTTTCTTGATGCACCTATTTTGTCTTTATCTGCAAGAAAACATGGTTTACCCAACTGCTTGTGGGGCATATGAATAACAGCTTTAGCAGGATGGCTACAACATTTAGATTATATCTGTGCTCTATTCATTGATGATTATGTATACTGATCGAAATATCCATAGCAGGTCTTATGCATACAAGGTAATGCGTTTGAATATGATCCTTATGATGCTAATTGCTGACACAAGAGCTTATTGTATATTCTCCACTGGGTCAGAAATTTGAATGTTTGTTGTATATTCTTAACTGTTTGTTGGACTTGGTTAAGTTACATAGCAACATGATATTGGAACCTAACTTGCTTTATATTTTTGTAAAGTGAGATGATGCAATTAAGAGTCTCATATTTTTGCTTTATTCTTTTTGGGTACATGTGCATGTCGGGGGAAGGTTAGGATCATAGGCTATCCCTTGGTTGATGTTATCAGGGAGGGGTCTTTTTGTATTCTAACCATTTTCTATTCCCATTCTTTTTTCCCCTCATTGAAATCTCTGGTCTCTTGCTGATAAAGTAAAAAGAGGTTCATTGTTCTGTTAATGTATGGTATTTTAAATGTGGTAAACTGCACTTGTAGTTTGAAATAGCTCAATGTTTTTCTCCGTGTAAACCTCTTTCCATGTTAGAAGATTTGGCTTAAAAAATCTGATAATGCTATAGGGAAATGTCATTGAGTTGGGCACAGTACTGAAAATGACAGAAAGCCCCTCTTGTAGCTGGCTTGAAAGCATGGTGTGACAAAAAAAAATCACATCATATTCATTCAAATGAATTGAATTTATAATACTAATTAAAACTTCTACTGCATAGTATGATAAAAGACATACAATATCTTATTTACCATGTCCTTCCATTATATGATTTGTTTTATGGTTTCTCTTATTTTTATTGTTGTATTACTTCAGTAATGTTTGTAACTCAAAATATGCACATGAAATTAACCATATTTACTGATTCATCATCATTTGCCTTATTTAGGTTTGATAGTGTTGTTTCGTGTTGCATGTCATCTACCACTGTCAAACTTAGCATATTCTATAATCGTTTGGAATCGTTGTCAAAGAAGATTATCTTGTAACATGAGTCCTGCCTAAGGTTTGGATTGACTTTTGTCCATGCAAAGTCATACTTGGGGACATAATTAGGGGCCACTCTTTTTATCCCCTGTTCTATGTTTTTTTTGTCTTGATTATGAATGCTATACATCTGACCATGTTATGCACATAGTATATGGTACATCCCTTTGCATATACTTGCTCAGTTGCTCTGTACCTAGCACATGCACATGCACATGCACATGCACGTAAATAGTTTTACACATAGAAACATGCATGTGAGCAATTGCAGTGAAATGGTAATTAAGGGTACTGGCAGTTGTCATGGGGTTCTTGCATTATAAAACTACAGTGCATACTGAAAGCTCTTCTGTTTATATCAGTGGGGGATTTGATTTCAAGCCCTAGCAACTGGAATCAATCACCAGGATTTTCTTAATTCTCATCTCATCCCAGTAGCTCAATCAATTCTCTCAACTATGTTACTTCTATACAGTAGTATTGCATGGACACAGTGACAGGAATTGAAATCTGACACATGTCTAGGAGTTTGATTTGGCAAGATAGAAAACATGGACTTGCAGGCATATCTGTAAAAAGGTAAATACTAATGAAATTGTCCATATATTTCGAATTCTAACATCATGTATCAATAGAAGAAGGTTTTAAAGTTCCATATCTGTTACTCAAGTGTATGGGAAAAATAACATTCATCATTTACATTAGCTGTTCACTGGTATGAAATGATTAAGGCTCAGTTTGGAAAGAGTACAAATACAAATATGTACAGTGCAAATACATACAAAATACAATATTTTTCACACTACAAATTTGTATTTGTACTCCTTCTAAACTAAGCCTAAGGAGAGAAAGGAAAATGTTATGTACAAGCATCCCTTAAGAATCTATGAAGCATTGGTATATGGCATGTGTTTGAATTGCATATTTCAAATGGGTTATACCTCTTTGTTGGATAATTGAATACTTGAATAGATGGTGGGAATATCCGTACAATGACCTTCCTACTTATAAACAAGGGTATGAGAAAATGGAGCACAAATTCTTAGGTGTTTTGCATGGTTCTGGAAACCTTGTTAAGCAGATATATGGGGATAGGATTGAATTTAGACTCTTAATCTGCCATTCCTTGGTAGTGGTGCAAAAAGGGATCACCGGTATGAGAAAATGAGAATGCATTTTCAATTCTATGTTATATATTATATTACATACAGGCCCTTCTCACCTCCACAAGTTTAAATCATTTGATCCCAAGTTTGTAGAGCTACCTTTTCTGTATTCTCAATGGTATCGTTTGAATTCTGTTAATGTATTACGTTACTTTAAGTCAGCCCTTTATTTGCTATAGCTTGTCATATAAACTGATTAGGTTTTGATATTTATATAATTAGAATTGTGATCATGCATTTTTGTTGACAGTTAACTGTTTGTTAATTTCTAAAAAATACACATGTAATAAGCTTTAACAGAAGATAAGGTCCTATTTAGACTGGAATTGGGCTTGGGTGATGATAAGATGATTATGAAGATGGTGGTAGTGATGATGGTGATGATACTTAATTTAGCCTTTCCTCAAAAACAAGTCTGAGGACTTCCTTTGGTTCTGCTCTTCCAACTTGTGATTGCTGATATTCGTTTCTTCTTGAGGTTTATTTCCTTCTGATTCAAATGTTTGTAGGGAAATTGTGGTAATTACTCTTTATCCTTTTTCTTTCTCCTTTCAACTTCTTAGATAATTTCTTTATGATTATCAAATTCAGGAAATTGTGGTCATTACTCTGTATCCTTTTTTCCCCCCATTAGTACTGCATTTGTTGGTTGTATGTTTTTCCTTGGAGGTTGTACTACTTAAAGTAATGATTATGTGGACGGTTGAAGATGTTGGCCACTTGACTTACAACCAAATCTATCTTTGCATTGAAGGACAAATTGTTTTAGGATGTTGATGTCAGATGACTTGGTTGCTCCATTAGTTTTTCCATAGTTCAATTAGCACCTTAGGGTCTTGTTCATTATGCAGATGAAATTGTTTTTCTGCTGCTTGATTTGGCTGTTTTGGCTTTTACTACTCAATGCATCTTTTATTTACTTATCTACCTTTTTTTTTTCTGGAAAATACAGTAAATCAAGCAGCAGGAGCTTAGGAGCTACGTAATAATTTTTCTAGTATTGTTGGATTCTTTATTCTTCTCATTTGACTTTAACTAACCTGGAATTTTTATCCACGTAGACTGGTTTTGGCAATTAGATTGTGGAAAGAAGTGTGAAGTACTCTGGTGGTTCCATGGACTCCCAGGATGTCATCCTAAAATGGCATTAAGAGGAAAAAAGAATCTATCAGAGTATATAATTTATTAATTGTTTATAATTCCATGTCTATTTGTATTTTGTTTTGGCAAATAGATTGCCGAGCAGATGAGTCTTAGACTCTTAGATGCTCAGATCTCTGCAAAGCTGAAAATTGCTCCCCAATGTCTATTTGTTTGCTTATATGATACTTTTACTTGGTACAGAGGAAGAAAACATAGTTTTAATGACTGGGGGGCTTGGGATCCTACTACAAGTGCTAGAGTCGGTGAATGTTCTACCTATATGTATGGCTTTCATTACTGGATGCTGATATTAGTATTGGACTAGAGAGCTGAAATGAAGTGTTAGATGGGAGGGGGAGGCTACAGGGTGTGGTATGTCGCTTCTTTGCTTGGATAGGTGTATCATTCATTCTAGGAAGAACGTACCTAGTGTACTGTCTTGGTGGGGACATTAATTTATATGTTCTTCTGTGAGGGAAGACAAAAGCTGACAATGCTGGTCACCATTTATTGTATTGGGTGTGTTCTTCTGTAGGTGACATGTTTGGCGTGCAAGACACAAACGCCCCTTGTGGATGTTGTGGACTTGTGGTGGTTCCAACTTCCAAGATCCGTGCAGCTTTTTGAACTGCTCACTTGTTTCAGGTCCAAGCAAGCGGTAGGTGTTGTTCCATCTGGTTTGCTCTACAAGTCTGAGATTCTTGGAGTCCATTCGGTCAGAACTCAAAAGAGTAAACCAAAGCAAAGCTATAGCCATGGCCGCCACACACTTGGTGTACATCAAGACAATCACGTATGCAAATTGGCGTGTTAGCTGTCTGTTGAAAGACTGGCCATATATCATCACGAAGTTTCAATGCTCACATGATGTGCTTTGTGTATCCATCCATGCTTTTCAGATTCAGCAAATGGTGATAATTTTCACGACTCACAAGCAAATGCAAATAAAAATAAAGGAGATTCCAAAGGTCAAAAAGTGTGGTTCTTCACTTGAGAGCCCTGACCCTGCACTGCATTGCTTTATATAACTGCTTTAATAAAGAAAAGTAAAAAAAAGAACTTTTACAGCATGAACAATTATGTTTATAATTAGGGTTCCTCTCTCCGGTTTGCCGCTGATGGATTTAACAGGTTGTGAATCCCTGGCCCCACCATCCCCGGTTTGATGAGAATGTGTGAGTATATATACATATTATACTTAAACGGACTTTCTTAATAACAAGTGGGCCAAAAGAACAGAGTGGATCTACTTGAACCACAAATTGAACACCCTTTAGGGTGGATCCATGTTTAAATCAAATCAAATTGGATTGGATAAAGTGTGGATCTATATTTAATCTAATTATAAACAAATCTAATTTGGGTCACCCTTAGTGGTATTAAAATCAAATTCAGACAATCAGATGCCAATACCATTTGCAGCCCTAACAATAACCACAGCAAATCTCAATCAATCAAATGGAGCGGTAAATGGAAACTTGGAATGTGTTATCCCCCTGCATTTCGCTCTTTCGCTCACATGGATAGAAGCAATTCATCATTCACCATTTAACTAGTCATTTAGGCTCCGTTTGGGATGGGGATAAGAAAAAGGGAATATTTTAAAAATATTCTTTTTTCTCTCATTTGTTTTGAGGGAACTAGAGGGATGGGATGAGAAAAATGTGGGATGTCAGATCCCAAAATTGTGGATTTGGGGTCACATTAAAACCGTGCAACCCCGGTAGAAAAATTTGAGAAACCATTGTTACCATCGACGACAAACAGAGGAGGGAGAGAACCAGTGCCTTCCCCATTACCATCGACGATTTGTTACTTCCCCTTCCCCGTTCGAACCCAGAAGCAGAGTAGTGGCGGCGGCACTCCCTCTCTCCTCTCTTCTTTTCTTTTTTCTTCTTCTGTCTCTTGTTTTTCACCAAAAAAAAAGCACTATTCATCATCTTCTCAACAACGAACAAAGGAAATACCAACGGCGGTGACCAGGATCATTTACCCTCTAGTACCTCTCCGTTCATCATCTTTGCTTTCCACCGGTGAACTATTGTCTCCGGCGGCACTTTTTGCTTTCCAATGGTTGATCAGCGGCACTGTTCATCGTCTTCGCTTTCTGCCGGCGAACTACTGTTCGTCTTCCTCTTGGTGAAATAGAGCACTCCACAACGGCTATACTCCATCATTCCTACCGTCTCTAGCAACCGTTTCACTGGTTTTGACTAGTTTCTCCAATCATCCATTGTTTTTGATTCCCTCATTTTCCCTCTCTCTCTTTGATCGCCGTTGCAGTCATGGAGTTCTCTTCACCTTACATGAATCCGACGAAGAAGTAGCTCGTTACAGTGCTTTTCCCATTATTTTCCCATATATAAAACCAAACAATGGAAGTGTACATTTTTACACTTTCCTATCCCACCCAAATCTTCCCACAAACCAAACGGAGCCTTATTTATCATATATTAACAATAATATAATATGTTAAAGGATAAATATAATATATTTAAAATAATATATAGTATGTGAAAAATACATATAATATGTTAAAAAGCATATATAATTTAATAATTATTTTTTCTACAATATAGGTATGGCCCAAGATACACAAAATCACATGGCGGCATCAGCCTTCTTCCTGAACCATGTCTTTGTGTTTAAAAGCTATCTTCCTAAAAAATGAGGATTTTGCTAGTTTTAGAAATGGGTAGAATCTCCTACCCACAAGATGTTCCTAACACAGAAGTGGTGTTTTGTGGGTAGGGATGCGAGAATAGTCTGTTGGTAGCAGATCTGGACTAATCTAGAGGACTATCTAAAACTAGCAAGGTACTAACCAATTGGTTGGTAAGGTCTCCTGTTAGTCATAGTGGAGATTTGGGATTTAATCCCACCTACATTTGGGTTTTGTTTTTTTTTTTTATATCTTTTGAAGGGGGGTAGGGGTAGCCCCAACCCAGGTGCAACCGGGACTCCGCTACAACCAATAGGCAAGGGGTTTGGGTTGGGAGATGGGCTACCCCTGTTGTGTAACCCTTCTTAAAAAAAAAAAGAAAATATCCTTTATAATATTGGTTGCATTTATGAAACAACAAGGTTTTTGAACTGTTGCTGACTTGGACGGTTGGACCGTTTGGCTCAGGAACCATCCAGGTAATCGGTTCCGTTTTCCCCCAACCCAGTTTTGGTAAAAAACCATTGAAAAAGTCAACAATCCATTGACCCGAGTGGTTGAACCATTGACTAGTTCAATGATTTTGATCATTTTTTTTATTTTTAATTCTTTTTTTGATTTATTTGTCAGAATGGGCCATCCATTTGAACCAAACAATTGGACCGTCGATTCGAAAACCGGTGAACAGAACGGTTCTATTTCCGAGTCGTTTTTTAAAACGTTGTGAAACAGAACATACATACATGTAACCATTAACTGAACACCTCCTAAATCGTTGTAGCCATATAAGGTTCAAAGTTTCATACAAATAATTTTAAAATCATTTTATTATTGAAACACAATATCAAAGTCATTTTTAGTTTAATTTATTTATAGTATTCAATATCCAAATGCAATTCATTCAAATTCAAACACAAATGAATAGAATTGGGATCATACTAACAAGGACCCGTGCGATGCATGGGTTTTGTTAAGTGAAAGCTAAACAATAAAAGCACATAAGAGTAGACAATTGTTTTATATTTTAACATTTTAAACAATTAATAATTAGTTATATTTTCTATACTACTTTTAATAGTTTTTTACAATACAAAAACAACAATAATTAATTTCAGTTAGGTTGTTCATCAAATCAGTGAAATCGACCAACATGACCCAATTCAACTCGAGTTGGTCGGTTTTCTAGTATTTTTGGTGGGTTTCGATTCAGCAATTTCCCAACCTAACCAGGTTGGGTCAATTTCGATTTGGCCATTTGTAAATTGACAAAAACCAAACTGACTCGACCATATATATTAAATATAATTTTTAATATGGAAAAGTAAGAAAATTCTCATATTCCTTAGTCTAAAATATTTTTTATTGTAAATATAATTTTTAATTTATTTTTTAATAATACCACTATAATTTTTAAATTTATTTTTTTATTTTTAAGTTTAAACCTTTTGAACCAACCAACCAAACCGAAAATTGACCCAAACCAATATAACCCGAGTTGGTTGATTTTCACTAGTGGTTGGTTTCGGGTGACCAACTCCCTAACTCGTCTAGGTCAATTTGGTTGGCCAAACAACCTACAACTGAACCGAACAAACCCATGAGCACTCTTAATTTTAGCTAAACTAATAATTTAATCTCTAATAAATAACAATAGTTTAATTTTCAATAATTATTGAAAATTTTTATTAAATAACAAAACAAAAATAGATTTATACATAATTATTGAAAATATATTTATCACAAAAATACAATAAATAATTACTAAAAAACAATAAATATAAAATTTAGTATATATAAGTATATACTAAATATAGTTTAAGATTTTAAAATTATTATTAATAAATATGATTTTTCTAAAAGTTATTCTCTAGAATTATTAATTGATATAAGTGAAATAGTGTTTTTAATATTAGTACATTAATAATTGCAATTATTATTATATATTTTTAATATCTATTAAAACATTTTTTGAAAGTTATTATCTATTTTTGTTATTTGAAAGCTTCAATATCTCTGAATTATTTAATCTATTTTTATTATTTCAATAATATTTAAAAATTTTAAATTACTTATATTTTATATTCTTATTATCAAATATTATTAAATCTATTATAATTATTTTTTCATTTTTGATAAAAAATTACATAATTTCTTTATTTAATCTATTTTATTTGTTTGTAAATAATATTTAAAATATGATTTAGTTATTAATTTTTTAATACTTAAAATATTTAAAATTAGTTATTTACAATATTATTTATCTGTTTAAATAATATCATTATTTAGTTATTTTCGTATTACTTATTTATTGAATTTCATAGTCCATAAAATTATAAGTTATATTATTATCACATAATTTCGTTATTAATTTTGTAAAACATAAAATTATTATTAATTCAAATTTTTTGAAATCTATTATAATGATTTCTAGTTTTAATAAAATTTATAAGTTTATTACATATTTTTGTTATTTTAACTATTGAAAATTTAGTAATTTAAAATAATTAAAAATTTTCATTATTTTAAAGTTATTACATAATATTAAATATTTTGTTGTATAATATTTGGCTATTTTAATACTTTGTTATTTTAATATTTAGTTATTGAAATTTTTAAACAATATTTTTTTATTTTTTATTATTTGAATAGTATTTAAATTGAATAATTCATAAAATTATAATTTATTTTGTTAGTACATAAATTCACTATGAATTTCATAAAAGTATAAAATTATTAATAATATGAATATTATTAAATCTATGATAATATTTTTTGTGTTTTTAATAAATATTTTAAGGTTATTACATAATTTCATTATAATATTTAAATAATACTTAAAATTTTTAATTCAACCTTTCTTTTGATAGATATAGATGAAAAGTGGGAGATAGGATAAATAGGAATTAAAGATCATTTAGGAGAGAAACTCTCTATTAAATTAGAGATAATTAAAAGTTATATAATTTAGGAGATAAATAGGAATTATAGATAATTTAGGAGAAATTGGTTGGATTAGATTAGATTTTGGTAGAGATAGGTTTTAGAAATAGTTTTAAGAAGGGATATCTAAAGGGATGGATAAACATAGATGATAGAGGGATGGACCAGACCTGAGATTTCAAAATGAGAGAGGGAGAAGGGAGTGATGAAGGTGGCTTCATAAGGGAGTAAGGAAGACTAAAATGAAGAGGGATTAAGAGTTCTCAATTAGGGAAAGTTTCATTTTAATGCTTCCCCAGCAGTTAAGCATTTATTCACTATTCCACTGATGTGGCGCCTAATGGCACCTAGTTGTCAATAAACAGTTTATCAAGTACTTTTTTTCTCGTTTTTAAAAACAAATAAAATACAAACATTTATTTAATAAATGAAAACTATATCATACATATACATAATCAGCTAAATCTCAAATCACATTTGTGGAGCCTGGGAGGACAGGTCTGTTGCGTGCAAATGCTGTGCATACAATATGAACAGGACATACATCTGCATATCGGAACATCTCCTGTACTTTAGGCTCAGTTATACAAATATAAATATGTAGAGTGCAAAACTATGTATTTTATATTTTGTATTTGTACTCCTAAACTGAGCCTTATGTTGCCATTCCACCGATATGTTCCCGATGTACGCCTGTATGTCCTGTACACATGTTTGTGTCTTCATCTGTACAACATGGTGAATATTGATATTGCTTTGTCTATCATTCACTTTTCACTGCACATTTCTGATAAACCATCGACTGTTTACCGTTAGCCTCATTGACTGAATATAGTTAAACAGGAAAATAATCAAACATTAATCTTCAGGTATACTAATCATAAAAAAAAAATCAGGTGTACTACAAAGAGGAAAACACTGAGCACTTAACTCTGAAAAGTCTATAATTAACCTTTCATTGACAAATCTAATTAACAATGTGTATGGATTCCACTGACAATAGGATCCTATCTTTGTCCATTAACTTTTGATTAAATGACAGTAAACTTTTTCATCCGGTTGGCACCCTAGAAATCCTAAACTATTCAGGACTTAGAATACCATAAAGAGACTAAAATATAACAACAAAGTTCATAAATAGAAAGATCATTCATCCCTCTGTTAGATGACGATGATAATGGCAAGCATGGGTCACTTGCACCTTCCATTAAATTCCGCATCAGTACAAAACAAAGCTACTTGTGAAATCCAATCTACGTGCTTCTAGTCTACTTTCTTCTCTTTCTTTGCATGTGATTTCCAGTATAGAAGTATCTGACTGAGGATGGTGCCATTCATCACAATACCAATCATAGAGCCCATAATCACTTCAAATGAATCAAGGTAGACAGACAATCACAAGGACAATATTATTGAAGAAATAGATATTGTTAAGGTATTTGCATGCTGGCAGCTAAAATACCAACCAACCTGGCAGTACACATGATGGAAAACAATTTGATATGTCCAACATGGATATGGTCATTCCCGTGACTTCATGATAGACCAACCTTATAGTCTTATCCTAAGTGATGAAATCATGGAGTAAGAGTGGGAACAAAAGTTCAAGAGTGCCAAACCGAAAATTATTAGAATCCACTAAAGGTTGCATTGAAGGGGGTGGTGCCATTGTACCACCTTTATGACATGGGTGGGATACTAGAGCATAGTTTTCAAGGCGCCAAGGGAGCAGCTAGTTGCCTAGGTGACAACCTATGTTCCCTAGGTTCCATAATCATATTTCCTTAATTATTTTCGAAGTATAAACCTCATGTTAATGCATAGAAAATCAACATATTCATAAGAAAAAGAAGAAAGAAGAGAAAATTCAGAAAATATGGGGACTGAACCCCTATTTTGTTATAGGAAAAGAAGAAGAAGATAACATAAAAAGTTTAAATGATACCAATTTAAGAGAAAATTGTAGTTTTATATGGCCTTTCTTCTTCATGGCAGACCAAGAAATGTAATTTAAACCAAAAGTGTGATGTGTTCTCCTTGTACAAAGTTGCATAAACTGCTGTGGTAGGTGTCTTGCTGTTGCTATTTGTGGTTGATCATATTATTTTCTAATTCTGGATCCATTTAGGACTTCCAGGTTTTGAAACTTGCTTCCTAGTTGTTGGTTCACATTTGAAATTTGGATTGCTATGCTACCTGGAGTATTTCAAAGGGGTTCCTACCCATCTTATGTATTCAGCTTTTAGTGTGAATTTTGTGTCTGGCATATATTCCATGCCATGTCTAGGTAAGATGGTTGAATTCTATGTAATACTTGGTTACAGGTCTTATTAGGTGGATCTTTATACATTGTAATTCAGATAGTGGACATATCTGTCTTTTTCAATGGATATAATAACCAATATGATGAACAACATAAAAGCTTGGTATTTTACATGCTTGTTCTTTGAGTTGTCTTTTTCTTCTCTGCTTTTCACATTGCTTTCAACCTGTGTCTTGATTCTAAACAGCATGAACATTCAATTCTCATAAAATACGAATCATCTTCATGATTTAACATGTACTTATTTAGGTAATTAAGTAGCCTCTTTTTCCAAATATGTCAAAACTTCAAACAAATACTTTCTTTTTAAGGTAAAAATTTCGAGAGTTATGGAGGGTGAACTTCAATTAACAACTAATATAAAGGAACTCAAGGATACTGCTTGTTGGAGCCTTTTCCTGGATGCTGGTGAAAACTCTTACTGCAAAACATCACACTATAGATCAGGAACTATAATACAAAAGAACATCAAGTTTTTCCAATAACTATCCACATAAAATCTGAACTCACCAATGGAACCACCAAAATTCATAAAACATGTCAAGAAACTGAGCTCCCCTGTGCTTTTGTTCTGCTCCAAAGTTTTTTCAAGTAACCATGAGAAGGGTTGTAGAAGAAAACTTGAAACATAAATACTTGGCAAAAGAAAAACATAGCTATTTTTTGAAATACCAAAAGATGATTTTCTTAAAATTGGATTGAATAGAGAATAAGAAAAACTCTTATTTGCTTGCATGGTCTGTTGCATCCAAGCACATGAAACACAGAAGTTCAAACTTCAAATGGATTTCAAGACAATTTACAACATATATGGTTTTGAAACTACAAAAGTTTTCAAATTTAATGAAATAGCCTTACTTGAATTTTTAGTATCTTGGGATGCTAAAATGCTAAAATTAAGCAAAGTCGGTACGAAAAATCGAGAAACATGCCATTAAAACATATTAAGCATTTCTTAACCATAATAGCAGAATACAACTTCCAACTATCCACTTACAGTGTAGTTCTCCCATATTTGAGGCACTCTTGCAAAGAAAAAAATTGCATGCTGAGAAGCCTATAACAAATGATTTCTGGGCCAGATTATTTAAAATAAAAAAAGGAAGGGAACAAAGCACAAAAAGGTACAGAGACAACAGATTGCACTTACATATAGAGCTTCGAAAAGAACTGGATCAATCTGGCCAGCCAAAATGGTGGGTGCTACAGCACAATATCTTAATAAGAAATATAGTAATGGAAATGGAGTAGATCTCTTTGAAGAAGACAGGTTGCTCCCTCAAGATACTGAGTTCAAGAATTATTATTTTATAATTGTGATTATCAAGGTAACTCCAAAACAGACAGGTACTTGTATGAGTAATCATGGAGGATACAGTAATGCTCTAATCCATGTTTTAGACCCAACAGGTTGAGAATAATAATAGATGATAGCAACCAAAATTATAGCTGCAAAAGAAATTAAAAGAAAAAAAGATTGGTCAGATTCCATGAAATTGTGATATCAAGCTAATATATCCAAAGCACTGAACTCAACATAATTAAGCCTTAATCCCAATGATTGGGCTAAGCTACATAAATTCTTTCATTTTGCTCCATCAAGAGCCATTTCCTGTTAAATTCTAAGTTCTTGGGTAATTCTTACTACTTCAGCCAATGCCTTCTTTGGTCTTCCTCTTGCTCTTTTAGGCTTTCTACTTGCACCAAGTCACTCGATCCTCATTGGTGGTCATTGGTCATCTATGCATCAAATCATCTCAAGTAGAAGGGATTCTCCTTATTGCAATCCTCTTCTAATTATTTACTCATAATATTAATGAAACCACTTGGTGCCTAACAGGAAAAAAAAAGAAGACATCTGATCCATGATAGACGAGTCTTCTACTCTTTCCTGTTCATTACCCGGGACACAAAAAATAAATAAAGTGGAAGATAATTATAAATCAAATAATACCATCTGTCAGATCAAGTTTTGTCATGGAGAATTATAAATCAAATAAAGTGGAAGAGGATTATATTTATTAATCAAGTTTTGAACAATAAATATACTTATGAAGTGATGTATCAAATAAAAACAACTCATCACTTTATTTTTTATTTTTATTTTATTTTTTTTTTGTGTTTGCTTTTCTTCTTCTTCTTTTTTTTGGGGGGGCGG